ATTTTGAAATTATAACTTAGAAACTGAGTTGTGTGTTTTGTTTTTGTTTTTTTGCTGTGTGTGTAATGTAGATGGGTTTAATAAAGTTTTTCCAATGGAGAAATTAAGTTCCTTCAGCCATGAAGAAGTCCAAATGATTCTTTGTGGAAATCAGTCGCCATCCTGGGCAGCAGAGGATATTATTAATTATACCGAACCTAAGTTGGGTTATACACGTGATAGGTATGTGTTGGTTATTTTCTAAGATCAACCAATTGTTTATGTCCCAAAATCAAATGGCGGGTTCTCTAAATGACTCAGTGAATTATATGTATAAAATGAGAAAGGAGTTAAGTCTCACCGTTACCAAGATGTATATTCACTGATAAGGCTGAGTTCACACAAAAAGTCATCTTGGCTGATGTTTTAACATTCCTTTTCTCACTGTGTTTTAACTGTTCATCATTTTAAAAATTGCGTCATTTGTAAACCCTTAGGCTTTATTGCTTTTATATTAACCTCTATTTTCAAATAATTTCAATCTTACAGAAAACTTGAAGAATAGTTAAGAATTCCTATATATCCTTTACCAGAATCACCAGTACTTAACGTTTTGCTGTATTTCTTTTACATTATCTCTTTACACACACACACACACATATTTTCTGAACCATTTGAGGATATGTTGCATATATGTTGTACCTTTACTCTGTAATACATTAGTGTACATTCCTCAGAATATGGCCATACTCCCACGTAGCCATACTAGTTAGCAAATTTGTGATTCCGTACTATTAGCTAATCTATAGTCTACATTCCAGCTTTGTTGATTATTCCAGCGATATCTTTAATAGCACTCACTTCACTCCCATTCTCCCCCGTCAGGAGATTGTATTTAGTTGTGATATGGTTTTAATCAACAGTTCCTCGGATGTTTTTTCTTTCATACCACTGACATTTTTTAAGACTGTAAGCCCTGTATTTTAAAGTTTTCAAAGTGATGTAAATGAGAAAGTATTATTATTTTAAACTTAAATGACATTGTATATATAGCTTTTTTTTTTAAGTAAGTTTTTATTGAAGCATAACAGAAGTACACAAATTGCACATACATCCTGGAGAATTTTCACAAAATGGACACACCTGTATAATTGGTACCCAGAACAAGAAACAACTCTAGAAGTCCCCATCCCCATCTTATTCTTTTCTAGTCATTAAATCACTATTCCCATTGATGAATTTTGCTTGCTTTTTGAACTTTAGTAAACAAAATCATGCAGTATGTATTCTCTAAGGTCTGGTTTCTTTTATTTAATATTATAATTATGAAATTCATCCATGTTGTAGCATATAGTGATACTTTATTTCACTGTAACAAAAATGTATTATTTCAGATCCCTGTTGCTAGTTTAGCCATATTTGGGTGAATTATGCATGTGCATCTTGAGCTTTTCTGATTTGCTGCCTTTGTTGCATATTTGATTCCTATACTCCATCAGTGTTTCAGTCTGTCTGTATCAGTCTTTGAAGGGTATTTTTCAAGTAGTTTGTATCAGCTTATTTCATACTTACCCAAGAGTCTCTAGACAGTGTTGTTCTTCCAACATGCGGATATTCGTTTTTAGGGTTATTGCTGGCTTATACAGTAATGGTAGTATTTTTCATTTAAATCAGCTATCAAATCAATATAACTTTATTTTTCTTCTTTTAGCCCAGGTTTCCTTAGGTTTGTGAGGGTTTTATGTGGCATGTCTTCAGATGAGAGGAAGGCATTCCTGCAGTTTACCACTGGTTGTTCAACTCTACCCCCAGGTGGACTGGCTAACTTGCATCCTAGGCTCACAGTTGTACGCAAGGTACAAACTCTAGCTACTGGGGAATCTAAATGGAATTAAGATACTTAAGGGTTGAAAGAAATACATATTTAAAGTCATGGTCTTCTGTTATTTTCACTTCTACTTCTGTAGGTTGATGCTACTGATGCAAGCTACCCATCAGTGAATACGTGTGTACATTATCTAAAGTTGCCGGAATACTCTTCGGAGGAGATCATGAGAGAGCGCCTGCTAGCTGCTACAATGGAGAAAGGCTTTCATCTCAACTGAGCTTTGAAGTGCAATGGGAGACATCAGAGACTTAAAATTCTAGTGAAGCCTCTTGTGTTTGTGTGCAGAGAAGTATATGATCCTCCATGCTAATGACACTTGCCTTTTTTCCACCATTAAGGCTTTAAGAACACATGGAATAAGTTCGTTAGCTGCTAATGACAAAACAAATCCTTTAACTATCCAGCCAGCAAGTATATAGCACAGAACACTTTGTGTTGCTACAAGGGCTCATGTGACTGGAATTAGGTGGTCCTACTTGACTGTTCCAAAGAGCAGCTTCTCAGATCTTCAGTGTTCATTGGTAAATTTCTAACAGTGTATTTGTGTAAAGTTTGTCATTTCATACTTCATACACTACAGTTGCCATCACTGATGCCTGTTTTGCTGGCTTTTAAGCTACTTGGTCAAAAATCCTGCTTCCTTAAAACATAGAGAGTTAATGAGCATCTCAAGCTTTTTCTTTTCCTTTTTAATGATGCCTGCACTATCAGAGTATATCTAGTGTTCCCTCTTTTGTTTGGCATATAATCATGCACAGCCTTTTTATTTCTTTGAGGTGGGGAGTATATTTTTATTTCCTAAATGCCATACTATAAAATTCAAATTCTTAAGTGTGTTTGTGCAGTTCAAAAATAAAGATATATTAAGGGGGGGAGAAAACACTGGTTTAGGTGCAAGGCACACTTAAAGCAAGTTTTACTTTTGGTTGTATTTTCTTTGTATATTATAAACATTTATTTAACTTGTTGCAGTTTGAAGTAAAAAAATTTCCAAAATGTATTCTCAACAATAATCATTAAAATGTTTGCAGCATACAAAACTGTGTCATGTGACTGTTTCACTGCAGCCATCAGACCTAAGAGCTTAACTGTATACTTTTCATTTTGAATCATTGAGATATATAGTTTTTTGAAACTACTACATGAAGAAATGTATTTTTCTGTGTAAATACACTTACTGAAACTGGAAAGCTAGGAGAAATATATGTTCACATGCTTGTGATCCAACTCTTGTGTTCTGTCTTTAAAGTATTCTTCAGGTAAAAATAGCCAAGTTATTTGTGTTAATTTTTTAAACACCAAATGTGCTACTTACCATTGTATCTTCAGTGATGTGTAAGTCTAAGATCCAAGAATGATTTTTGAATGCTGTGTTAGTGTGAAAAGAAACCACTGAGATAATGCTATTTCCTGGTTTTGAAAAGGGGCTATATTTCCATTTTCCTGTGACTTATCATATCTATGCATCTAGGTAAAAGAAATGTCACTAGGTCTGATTTAGCCAAATGGCTTTTATAGGCGTGAAAAGCATTTTTTGGAATTGCCCACAATTTACCTGTTTAAAAGGTACGTTCCCTTTCTACATTAGAAGAGATTTCTCCCATTGCAGTCAATCATTTGAGTAGTGTTTCTGTTCTCTGCATGAGAATGTTGTGACTATGTAATCAGAGGCAGCATTTACTTTACCTTATTGTTAGCTTCACAGTTCTCTGCGAGAATAAAAGTTAAAATAAAACATAATAGCAATATTTAAATGTATGACCTATGCTTTAATCCAGAAAACAGTGGTGGTGATTGTCTCAATACATGGATGCATGACTAGAACTTTACACTAGCAGTAGAATTAATACCCAGTTTATGTGTATTATTTAAGTATCTAAAATGTCTGTCAGTAGCCAGCTTTTACCAAGACTATTCTAGCACAGGGGTCAGCAAACTGTGGCCTGCCGTTTGCATTTGTATGGCCCATGAACTAAACATGGTTTTTAAATTTTTAAGTGGTTGAAAAAAATAAAAAAGAATAATAATATCTTATGTGAAAATTTTATGAAATTCAGATTTGTATCCATAAAGAAATAAAGTTTTATTAGAACACAGCCATGCTGACTTATTTATGTATAATCTATGGCTCGTTTTTGCACTACAGTGGCAGAACTGAGTAGTTACAGCAAAGACCATATGGGCCACGAAGCCTAGAATATTTACTGTCTGGTCCTTTGCAGAAAAGGTTTGCTGAATCCTGGTCTAGCACATTGCTACAGCAGGTAAAGTTGATGAGTCTTTATACAGTGAGTAACTCTGAAATGTCAGGAATCTTCCTGTAGAACTAAAAGTCCAAGAACAAGGTAAAGCTGACCAGTCTGAGACATAAATTTCATGAGTCTGAAAATCACTTAACGCTGGTAGTCACAGTTCAGCAATAAACCTGAAGTTCAGCAATAAACCTGATGACACAGCCTGTCACACAACAGAGAGTCACATTAGAGTTCACTTCGTGTATAAGTCAAGTACTGTGAGACATCTACTTGGGTCTTCACATACACTAGCCTCTGGAGTATTGTTTCCAGTGGTATCTACCTAGTATTTTTTTTAATCGTTATTCTCTCAAGGTACTAAAATCTGTGCCAAGATATTATTTGAATGCTATTTTGGTGTGACCCCAAAATTAATTTTATTCACTCCCTAGTTACTTCTGGTGTACCAGTTTCAGCAGTTACCCGAATGTGCTACTGATTAAGTGCCTACCAACTAGGCCAGTGTTTCCCAACTAATTATGTCTCAGAAAGACCTCCAAAGCACTTTGATCTAGACTGGGCTTTCCCCAGACCTTGGCTACTTAATGCATACCATTCACTGTTCTGGCAGGTCAGAAGCCTTTCCTCTGCTTTCCTGAATGAGTCCAAAACAACTAAGGTTTGCTTTTGGAGTCCATTATTCATTGGTTGCCTGGTAGATGCAAACTTTGAAATATGTAAGTGAAGTTTTAGAAACACATAGAGAATTTAAACAAAATCCCTCCTATAGACACACGAGACAGGGAGAGAAATCAAACAGTACTGAATGAATTATTGCCTAGAATGCCCATTTATGTCCTCTTTTGGAGGACAGAGTGTTGTAGGTGAAAGAACTCTTGGAATTCCATAGGATGGCACAGTGTCTTCATGTATCAAGACTATATTTCTGTGTCCTCCAATGTACTTGCCCTCCTACCCTAACATGCACATGAACATGCTTTTACTTAAGACAGCTCTGTATCTCCTACTGTTAACGAAGCAAAAGCATATATACAGAAAGGTTTGGGAGGATCAGAGCATTGCTCTTCTATAGTGACTTAGCAGTTTTCTTTGCTTCAACACATTCCAGGAGAAGGGGTTGAAGGAATAAAAGGGAGGGGAAGACGGAGTCATTTCATGGCAACCTGAACAGAGATATATTCTCTTGCATTCTGTTTTTAAACTTCGAACTAAATTTCATTTACAAATAAGTTTACTAATAAGACTAACTCTTTACAATATGGCATATAGGATAGCTATAATGGTTGTCTTAGCGATTCATTATTAGGTAGTAACATTCTCTATAGAGTTAATTACATGATGTCTTTGTAATTGCCAAGTACCCATAAAATGGATATCAGGCTTTTAGAAACTGGCAAAGAATATTTGATTCTGCAATTTTCATTAGGTACACACATTTTGACTTTAAGGAAAAAGATAGCATTCAGAAAACAGTATTATTCAAAGTGCTCTGCATGTTCAAGTCAATTTTAAAAGTTTATTGGCCAACAGAGAGGTGCCACATTTTCTTCCCACCCCATGATGCTGTTCCTGAATTTATCCCTTTGCAAAGGGAAGCAGAGACCAAAAGAGTTTCCCTCAGTACTCCGCAAAATCTAAACAAGTGAGAAAAAAATGTTTATGTTCAGAAAATAAAACTTGTCTCTCCGTTTAGAGAAAAATTTTCTTTGTGCATCATGTTTTAAAATAGTTTTGTTTTCCGTTTAGGAACTGTGGAAAACACCTATTTTAAATGTCTTTGGAAGGACAGCCCATTTTGCAGCGTTTGGTCTTCCAGAATCTTTTGGGCTAGTGATGTTGAGAGGTATTCCATGGTGTCCTCATTTCCTGTAAGTCGACGTTGTCTGGCAGAGCCTTTCTGTTTTCAGCTGTCTGACATCTTATCAAGAATTAGTAGAGGGGCAAGAATTCTTGCCCGATTCGTTTCCACAATGCAGCCATTTAACACCATCTCATCCAAAATGATGTGTACTTTATCCAAATTAAACATTATCTAGGGTCATATTAAGGAAATTAGTTATAAAAATGTTAACATTCAGTAAATAATAACTTATGACTTTGCCTGGAATTTTTCCAGTGTAAATTAGTCTAAGCATGAAGGTTTTGTGTTTTTTTTAACAGAATTCCTGAAATTAAAATTGGTATTTATATTAGAAATTATTATCTTCATGTACACATATATACCTAATTTCACCTTGGCTAGGCTAACTAACTGGACAATAGACATAGAAATGGAACAGCTATACCTTTTAGCCAGAGGGAGACGGAATCTCTACTAAGAGCTGGAGAACAAAGCAAGTAAATTTTGGTAAGAGTGTGACCTGACCTCAAGAACAATGTCTTCCCAGACAATAATAACAACAGTAATAGCCATGACTTATTGAATACTCATTGTGTTCCAGGCATTGTGTTGAGTGTTTTACATGTATTATTTCAGTCTTCTCTACGACTCGGTGATGTACATGCTAACATTATCCTCATTTTACACAGGAACAAACAGGCTCAAAGCCATTGCCTACGGTCACATGGCTAGTAGTTGTCAGAGCTGGAATTTAAACCGAAAGTTTGGGCTTAACTGCTCTGCTTCCAGACTTCCCAGGAGAGGCCTGAGGCTGCTGAGTATACATTCTCCCTCCGCCCTCAAACCTCCACCCCAAAACACATGCCTTTACAGTACTGCACCTTGAGCATGTTTTGTGTCAGACAGGCTAAAAGAAAAAAATAACCACGAGGAGAAATGAATGAAGAAAAGGCAATGCTGACTTAATTCCCAAGGAGATAAAAATTCCGATTTTCAGGAGAGTACCTCTTGTAAATGGAGCATTCTAAAAATACTCATTTGAGAATTATGGAGCCACTTTAGATTACTGACGTTCTTATTGGAAAGTTAGTACAGGGCATGGGAGAAGAAGAAAACACTGCTAGACTATGATGTCTAGCTAATTAGAGCCAAGTCCTTCCTCCAGTAGTCCCTTCATTTGAGTACCTAACTTTTCTTTTGTGAAATTGAACTGGAAGAGAGAACTGACCTGTTCTGGAAGAGAGAAACTCTTGAGAGTGAAGATGATAATGGTTGAACGTTTCTAAATTCTATGCTTTACTAAAGTTTCCATCACTAAAGAGCACAATCCTGGTCTGTTTAAAAAAAAACAGAACAAAACAAAAAACAGCTGACAGATTGTTTCAAATAGGCAAACTTCATTCAACAAGCGAGTGATTAAATGCACTATGGGAGTTCATAATTAGTGAATCTTTGTAAAATGAGCCATTACCACCTGATTTTTCTTCCCAATAATTCCAGACGTTCAAGTCTATTGTATTTGTTTAGTAAAGTACATCTATAGAGAATGAGACAATCCTGTGAATGACTTTTAAGTTTCTATTAGGCTCTGTGTTAATACCTCATTAAGCTCTGTGCGAATAGTTCTCCAGCAGAATAAACTTTTTCTGGAGCCCATGGGGACTGTCCTAAAGTGACCCAGAAAAAAAAAAAGCTTTACTCTGTTATACCTATTAATAATATCTTCCAATTAGATGGATGATTGCTTTGTCCATGGCCAAATTGGGACTGGAATATTAGGCGCTTGACTTAATCCTCTTCACCAGACCCAGAAGCCAGAACATGGTAGGAATGACAGCCAGGTATAAAGGAAGGCAGAGCTGGGAAGCACAGGTGACTGCATGAAAAAAATGCCCTGTAGAATCCCCCTATTGTATTCACTAAGGGCAATGAAAGCCTAGTGCCTTTTTTTTTTTTTTTTTTTTTTTTTGGTGTCAAGGTTTTTTGTTTTGTTTTAAGTATAGTTGATTTACAGCATTGTGGGAATTAGTGCTGTACAGCAAAGTGATTCAGTTATACACATATATATACATTCTGTTTTAAAATATTCTTTTCCATTATGGTTTATCTTAGGATATTGAATATAGTTCTCTGTGCTATACAATAGGACCTTGTTGTTTAAAGCCTAGTGCCTTTGAAAATGTCAACCCATCCAGGGTGATTCTGAGGTAGAAGGAGATCTCATTTTAATCTATTCTATTTGAATCGATGCAGGGATCAAGCTGCTCTGAAGACTGCTCCATCTTTGGCAAGAATATGGTCAGCAATTCAGATGTCCCCTTGAACAACTAGCTCAATGTTTTGCAATTCAGATTAGAATTTACTGCTGAATCATATCAACCACTGACATCCTCACAATGCAAGGACAAGGTCCTTCAGCAAGTCTGAATTTCCCAACATCCTGGAAACATGAATTGCTCAGTGAGGGCATTTGGTACTGTGGGCATGTGACTGCCTGTCTATCTGAGTATCTGGCTGAAACCTCTAATAATCATGCAACTTTCTGGCACTATAAAGGGAAACCACAGACCAAATCGAATGTGAGGCAGAAGCCTGAAAACTGATTTCCCCTTGGAATCATGTGGCTTCTTGAAAATAAGAATCCAGCTGTTGTTCACATCTTGATTTGGTTAATGAGTTACTTGTGCACACTGGAAAAGCCAAGAGTAATGGCATTTGGGCTACAAGCCAGGTGAGCAGGGACCAAAAAATGCCCTATATGCCAAGTCCCGTGGCAATAAGCAGAGGCAAACACACTTTAGCCCTGACATTTGGAATAGGAGGAAGCAAGAAAGGCACAAGCTGTTGGTCTATTAAGGTGATGAGCTGAGAATGACTAGTTTAAGAGGGTCCAACCTTAGGTTTTACTGAATTCAACTGACTTAAAGATCCTTGAGGAAACTTGTTTACCTTCATGGGCACCCTAAGGTTGGAGCTGATATGAACTAGAAAGAGCCTCTTAAAGAACAGATTCATAAAGCCCCACTTTCTCCCAACCCGGAAACCTAGAGCCTTTCTGAATTTCTATGTAATGTGGATTGGAGCTGAATAGCGTAGGACCTCAGTAATATTAGTGCCACTTGAAATCAATTTTTTAATTAGAGTGATTGAAATGTTTCTGGTTCATACATTGGAATTTTGATCTCTGGATCATAAAGCACTTTTTCATCATGGTATTTTAACACCACTGTGGTGGTCTAGTTCTCCTTTAGTAAGAGAAAACTGAGCAGCATACATTCTAATGGGACCTCAAAAGCAATTCCAAGGAAGAGCCCAGCCTAGAAACTAAACTTTCTAATTCTAGATTTTGGCCTCAGATCCCTTGTCTTATTTGATTTCTTTTCTTTTTTTTTTTTTCTTTTAAGATTCTAGCTCGGACTTCCCTGGTGGTGCAGTAGTTAAGAATCCACCTGCCAATGCAGGGGACACAGGACAGGTTTGATCCCTGGCCGGGAAGATCCCACACGCCATGGAGCATCTAAGCCTGTGCGCCACAACTACTGAGCCTGTACTCTAGAGCCCGAGAGCCACAACTACTGAAGCCTACGTGCCTAGAACCCATGCTCCGCAACAAAGAGTAGCCCCCGCTCGCCCCAACTAGAGAAAGCTCGCACACAGCAACGAAGACCCAACGTAGTGAGAGAGAGAGAGAGAGAGAGAGAAAGAAAAAAAAAAAAAGTTCTTTAAGTACGGTGGGGAAAAAACGTGTTCTCTTTTTTTTTTATACTTTAACTCAATTGCCCATGGAATTAGATAAGTTGCAAAGAGCCAATGTGTTCACATTTCCCACTGAAAATCACATGCTACTGTATGGAAGATTATCATGAAGATTCTGCATAGTTCTGGATATACTCTCCTTGTAATAGTCTTGTGTTCACTTTTAGGCTTAGTATGGCCTTTAGTTAATTAGGTCACTGAAAAGGAGTGGGGGTTTTTTTGTTGTTTTTTTGTTTTTATTAATAGTAATCTTTTATTTATTCATTTATTTTTATTTTTGGCTGTGTTGGGTCTTCGTTTCTGTGCGAGGGCTTTCTCCAGTTGTGGCGAGCGGGGGCCACTCTTCATCGCAGTGCATGGGCCTCTTCACTATGGCGGCCTCCCTTGTTGCGGAGCGCAGGCTCAGTAGTTGTGGCTCACGGGCCTAGTTGCTCCGTGGCCTGTGGGATCTTCCCAGACCAGGGCTCGAACCCGTGTTCCCTGTATTGGCAGGCAGATTCTCAACCACTGCGCCACCAGGGAAGCCCCAAGGAGTGTTTTTTTATTGTTGTTGTTAAGTAGGTTTTCCTGAAAGATCCATTCATATTCTGAAAGCAACAAAGACATCCCAGTGTAATTTTTTTTAAGTTTATATAGGCTTATGTAAAATTACACAAATATCAGTCAGCACTGGGGTCAATGAGCCTGTCATTCTCTTGTTTATTTTCCCCCAGATTCTCTGTTGCTTCTCATAGCTTGCTGCCACTATTCCTGAGTAAAACAGAACCCAGAAGCATAGAACAGAAGGAGTGGGGGTAAGGCAGAGGGACCTGGAGAGAGGGATAGGAGGAATAGTAGGGGATGAATATGGCACCTAAAGGACTCAGAAACACACTTAAAGGATATAGAGAGATGGCTAAGGCTAGGGAGGGCCAAAATGGCCTGGAAGGCAGAACTGTTTAATCTGGAACTTTCACATCCCTTTCCCAGGTGAACGGCTGACTCCCTTGGAGACTGTTCATAATTCTGAGACTCATCACTCATGACTTGACTAGAACTCTCATGCTGGAGAGGGCTGTGGCCCCCTTACCCCTCCTTGCCTGCCCTTCCCAAAGACTGGACCAGCTGCACACATTCCCTTGGGCCCAGGGGCCTGCTCTCTTCTCTTGCAGCCCTGCTTCAATGGACATATTTTCAAAAGGAAAAGATGTTTAGGAATCTCTGACGTGAACGTCGCTTTTGGAAAGCATGCTCTTATCAAGACATTCAGGTATTCGCTTCAGAATTTTTCATTATTTATGACTCCTCCGACCGAAGACGAGGGTTTCTCTAAAACTTCTTCCCTAATTCAGGAAACACCAAGACAGCATGGTGCCAGGCACTTTATAAATGTTTTCTTAGAGACTAATTTGCTACAGTCTACTCCAGATGATTATGAATTTTCAAAAAGTGTGTCAAATTTAATCTTAAATCACATTTGTAGCCCTAGAATCAAAGGCTCTGGAAACCCGGAGACCAGTACCAGCTCTGTGCCAAAGTAGCTCTGTAGTTTGGAACAATCAATCCATAGAGCTACTCTGGGACAGAACTGGTATTGGTCTCTGAGCCTCAGCCTCTTTGTCTAAAAAGTGAGATTTTAACTTGATGATTGTGTAGTTTTCTTCCAACTCCAAAGCAGTCAAACCCTATGACTCCAAAAGTAACCTTCAGGGAGAGGAAAGCTAGTTTACTCCTTTCTGATATGATCACGCTATTCCTGATGTAGTCACATGCTCCACCATACCTCAAAAGAAATCCTTTTGTAATAACAATTAATTATTTTAACTTTCTGACAGACCATCGAGAAAATTTCAGTTCCTCTAGAAGCTGCCACTTCAGTGTTGGATGGTTTCCCTAGAGAATATCTTTGGTCCTCTTGTCAGTATTTCCATAGCCCCTAGTTGAACAAGTTACTTTTGTGATTTCTCACTAAGTCAGGCTGAAATTATCTCCTATTTGGAGAAGCCCTGTTCTAGTTTCTGGACCTCTAAAGGTGTTTGGGATTTTAGGAAAGTAATGAAGGAACGACAGATAGACGTCACCCTACTGGGCCTGGGGCCTGATCAGGGCCTGACTGCAAATCTTAGTGGTGCTCTTACTGTTGGCTGGGTGCTTTTAGTCTTCCAGGGCACACCCTGGTAGATAACTAGCTGAGTCATAGAGAGTGCAAGAGGATGGAGGCCCTTCCTACTCGCCCACCCTCAACTTCAGTAAAGAGAGCATGTTTCACATCACGCATATGAGCTTTTAGGCTCTAGAATTAATTGCTCAAGCTTTTGGACTTTAAGGACTTACAAAGTAAAAACATGAGTGTTGTAAAGATTTTTTTTTTAAGATATTTTTGAATGAAGAAAACATTCTGGATTCTAGAGCTATCCTATATTTGTCAGGGAGGGGGCACAAGAATATAAATAGGAACCCCAGCTTGTTCCTGGCTTTTCCTCCCAGGCATGCATGTGGAATAACCCCCTTACCATCCCAGCCTCTCTATTATTCCTGCCTCCGGTCCTGGGGTGGTAAAGAGACCTGCATAGGCCCTGGCAGCAGGCACTGGGATGACCAGGTACCCGCTAAATTCTGGGGACCCAGGTGCTGGAGGGTGGTCAAGGAGTGGATGGGGGGCCCTGCCGGCTCTGGGTAAGCATCCTTACCCCATGGAGAGGGGTGCTGCTGAAGGAGAGCTAGAGTAGGGTCCTCTAAAGCACAGGGCCCAGGAAGGGGACCCTGGTTGTCTGGGTCTGAAGACAGTACTGCTGCATTCCATTCTAGCCAAAATTAACCAAGTCTTTAAGCCTCTTTAAGGCCACCAAATACCAAAAGGGGTGTCAAGGGTTTTGGTGCCTTCACACACATTAGGTGTGCACTGAACTGGGGAGGAACTGGACTTCTACACAGCACTGTTCGTGGGTGCCATCCTCTGACTATTTAGCAGAAGGGGATCCGACTGCTCCTTTGAATTATGAATTGTCTGGAGAATCCGGCAAACCTGGGGCTCTGGAGCTGAGCACATATTGAGAAGCTCATCAGTTGGTTCCTAAAAACTATCTTAATTCGTGGAATTTGAAGTCTTAAATAAGTCTACCAAAGTATGAGGAAGGGCAAACTTTCCCGACAAAAGTCCTCAGGCAACATTTCAGCCCCGCGGGTGGAGTGGAATGTAAAGAGGGTACCAGGGCTGCTTCAGCGCACGTGAACGGTTTAGGTCCTGATGTGCTTAGTCCCCGGGGTACAGGCCGCCCCACTTGAGACTACTCTGCAACAGAGAGTTTCCACTTAGTAGAAGGGTTTTCAACAAACCAGAATTTCTGTCCTGATTTCCTGAGCTTATGTCATTTCTTTTTAATAACCCATCTGCCTTGCTCTGTGACGTTAGTCTTCTTAGAAGTAGAACAAGCCCATACTAGGGAAAAATGTAAACAATGCATTTAATTTCCCAATGTCTAAGCCTACAGGCTCTGGAAAACCGCTCCCTTCTTAAAAGGCTGCAGGGCGGTAAAGTCTCTGGAGAAAGACTGCGAGTAAAGGGCTTCTTGGGAGTTCCATAAGGTTTGGACTCCCACCTTCCTGTTGCTGCAACAAGACTGAGCCTTAAATCATGTCTGTTCCAAGCAGACAGACGTGGAAGGCTTCCTTAATCTGAGCAAACACAAAGGTTATGTGCTCTTGAGTGTTGGGAGAACCGGTTCCAAGTTGCAATTATATCAGCTGCTGGTCCAACCTTTCAAGGCCTAAGGAAGCTTCCCTGGCACAATGTTAGCTGCTCTGGTAGGTTCCTGGTTACATGCTACCAGGGTGGTGATGCGGTCTGTCTGTGAGGCCACACCTCTAAAAGGCTCCCTTGTCTTACTGTTAAGAAACTGATGTGTAAAGTTTTCCCTGGACTTCTTCAACGTGACAGTTACACAGAACTGTGGGGAATTCCCTGGAGGTCCAGTGGTTAGGACTCCGAGCTTCCATTGCCGTGGCCTGGGTTCAATCCCTGGTCGGGGAACTAAGATCCTGCAAGCTGCGCAGCCCGGCCAAAAAAAAAAAAACAAAAAAACTATGTATGAGACAGAATCGAGTCGTGGGTTTGTAATTTGACCTTTTTCAGATGGCTGAGGGTAGAAACTCTTTCAGAATCTCAATAGAAGAGAGGTGCCCCATGCCCTGCCTGCCCTGCCCCCTGCTGCACTTTTAGACCATGGGAGGGCCACGTGAATTTACAGCTTGAGCACAGACATACACTTCCAGGTCTAGAGAGATTTAGTTCCCTTCTCTAAATTATGCAAAATTCCTAATCTGTCAGGTGGATGTGCCTAAGTATTTCCCAAGAACAGGAATATATAAGTTGGTCAGAGAGGAAGAGAAGGCAAAAATGAAACTAAGTAAAATGCAGGGTAAGGATGAAAATTGTGTGCTTTGGTGTGAAAATTAAATTCAAACAAGAATGCTGGAGTTCATTACATGGACCTATGCTATACACTAGAGGGATACAAAGACAAACCCATCTCTACTTTTAATAAACACCTAGTCAGTATATAAGACACATCAACACACTGAGTCCAACTATAATACACATCCTACTATATCTGATTCACTTTACTTCTCTGAATATCTAGACTTATAAGACTTTCCCATCCTGTTCTAGGTGTAAGATAGCTCAGTTACCTAGTCATGGCAACATCAAACATTAAGGCTGAGAGGGTGTTAAGGCTCTTCTAGTTTAATTCTGTCATTCTGAGATGAGGGGGTTATGTGTCTTGTCTGATACACACAGACAGTTGGTAGCAGCAATGAAAGCAAAACTTGGGTATCTGTATTCCCAGTAAAGTAACTATTAGCTTTTGCTGTCTTCCTAATGACTTCTTAAATCAAAAGTCATTTTTCTTATTACCCTGTACAAGGAGGAAGAGATTTATTTTGAATTGCTTTAAAGGACTTAGTTAAAATGGAATGTGACATGCTGAACAAAAATACACCCTACTATACAGCCTGGTCTTGGGTCTCCTAGGTCAAAAGGACCACAGATTTAGGTCACTCACCACTAGAGGGCACTCAGATTTCCCCAACTGATTTAAAGAGGCTTCAAATACAGCCTGCAAATCAAGTTTATCAACATGACATTTTCTATCAATAGTAAAAGGTAAATGGCCATTTCCCCAGAATATACTGGCATACTGTTTCTGGGCATAGGCACCTAATGTGTGTGTGTGTATGTATGTGTATGTGTGTATGGATGTGTGTATGTGTGTGTGTGTGTGTGTGTGTGCGCGCGTGTGCGTGTGTGTATACACACACATAAACATGTTATAATTAATATATATTTGTTATAATTAATGTTACTATTTCATATTCAAGCCTGATGTTTTCTCAAAGGACACCTATTTATTGCGTTCAAGTGGTAAGCAGATTTCCACAGTAAAGATTAACTTAAAAGACAACTTGCCTCCAGAGCACTGACACAAAGCCCAGTGGGCTCCTGCCCAAATCTGCAGGCCTGCAACATTCTAAGTAAATCATGCTTGTTCTTGGGGCCCTTGGATACTTTGATTTAAAAAGGAGAAGAGAAGAAAAGGAGAGCTTCCTCTGCTACAAAAGGAGATGAATACAAGCCAGGCAATTTCTTTAACCTTCCAGTTTATCATCCCTGAAGGCCTTCTTCTGATCATGTGGGGAATTTCTGGAGATTTATACCTAGAGCTGTGGAAATCCATTCTCTCCAGGAGGCCCAAGCACTTTCTGGCTGTGTTATTTAAATTCTGCAAAAGTCTATTCCATATGCAAAAGTTAAATTAATATATAAGAGTGATTATTAACGACCACCATAGCATTGCCCTGTCTGAAAAGTACAAGAATCGTCTTTGTGAAAAAGGGTGGAGGGTTTCTGCAAAGCACCTGTGCCTCCGGCTGTCTTGTCAGAGCTGCTGATGATTAGCCTTCTGAATTCTGGATGCGGCTGAATTGGTTTCCTGCCCCATGGCACTTACCTGATCAAGACTAGCCTGTTCTTTGCCAAGCACTATGGAAAACTTGGTTCACAGCACTGAAAAAGGATACATCTAATTCACTCTGGAAAAGAGAAAAGAGTCCAAGGATGAGAAGGAGACACAGGACACAATGCACTTAGCAGAGACAGCGGCTGCTCTGGTTGCCAGCCTGAAAGCAGGTGGGAGAGGCTGCTCTGTAGGGAGAAGCCTGAGTGTGGGAAGGCCCTGAGTTTGGGACAGTGATTTAAAAAAACGAAATAGGCTGCAGTTTAGAGGACTTTTATAGGCTAGAACATTTCACCTTTAGAGTGCAGAGGGAATAAACTAATTCAACCTTTACAGATCATAGGTAATTTGATAGGTATATACAAAATCGTAATAATGTGCACACAGTTTGAATCCATCAGTTTTACTTCTAGAAGTCTCTCCTAAGGGAACAGTTAAATAACGGCACAATGATGTGTGACAGCATATTCAGGGTAATGTTATTTATAGTAGCAAATTGCTGAAAACAAGCTAAGTGTCTATCAAGTGTCTACTTAAATAAATTATAGCAAATCCACAAATGATGACATAGGTACATAAGTCCTGACATACTGTTAAATAAAAAAGCTAGTCTGGGGCTTCCCTGGTGGCACCGTGGATAAGAATCTGCCTGCCAATGCAGGGGACACGGGTTCGAGCCCTGGTCCGGGAAGATCCCATATGCCGCGGAGCAACTAAGCCCGTGCGCCACAACTACTGAGGCTGCACTCTAGAGCCCATGAGCCACAGCTACTGAAGCCCACGCACCTAGAGCCCGTGCTCCACAACAAGAGAAGCCACCGCAATGAGAAGCCCATGCACCACAACGAAGAGTAGCCCCTGCTCACCGCAGCTAGAGAAAGCCCGTGCATAGCAACAAAGACCCAACACAGCCAAAAATAAATAAAAATTAAAAAGCTAGTCATAAAATGGTATATACAGCATTATCCCCTGTATATATATAGACAGATATAGATATAGTTAGACACAGATACATAAAGCCTAAAAGGCAATGTACCTAACAGTATGTATCAATAAACGGCATGCTCACTGATGATCTACCCTTTCTTTTTGCTCATATGTATTTTTAATTTTTTTTAATGAACAAATTTATGTCCTGAAAAAGTCATAGATGGAGAAAAGATGAAAGCGCTAAATTCATCTTTGAAAGGACTTAAGGTTTGTCAAGTGCAGCACTGACAACTCTGATCCCACTTCCTCAACAGCAACAGCCCTCACCTCTTGCAAAACTGCCTCTTTGGAAGCTAACTGGGCTGGCTTTCTGTTTTGAAACGTGATGTTAAGATGCTTCTTTCAGCCCAGACGGCATGAGATTGATCTCCAAATTTAAGATTTGGAAACTCTAAGATTAAAAATAGCCCCAGAAAAACTGTTTAAAACTCACAAACCTAAAAATAAATCTTAGATGACAAGGCATTCTCCATGAGTGGGACAGATTCTATTTTCTTTCCCAGGGCTCTCTTCTCTCTCCTCTTTTTCTTCTTTTTGCTACTGTCATCCTAAACCGGGTCATCCCTTAGTACTCTCCAAGTCCTGTATAATCACCTGGCTTAAATTAAATTCTAATCTTTACTTCTGTGGTTTATGTGGTCACTGACTCTCTCCCTAGAATAACAGCTAAAATTCAGCAACCTGCTATTTATTCTTAGTTACCGAATATAATAATTTTTAAAACCTTAGCAATGATAGTGCCTGTACCCATGCTTTATTCTCCTAGGTTTAAAACATTGCTATTTTGGGAAATTATATTCTTCTTGATAGGTGTTCCCTTAAAGTGACTAACCATGGCCAGCTCTGAATCACAGACCCTGACTTGCAACCAGTCTGTCTAAGAAAGTGGTCATCAGGAGATAAGCCGGAACTACAGCTATGCTGTCCGTATGGTAACCACCTGCCTCACGTGGTGATTTAAATCAATTAAAATTAAATAAAATTATAATTTCAATTCCTCATTTACACTAATCACATTTCAAATATTCAAGAGGTACATGTGGCTTAGCACCTACCACATTGGATGGCACAGATAGAGAACATTTCTATCACTGCAGAAAGTTCTATTGGACAGAAAGTGCTGGTCTATAGTGCTCTCCCCAAGCAATCAATAAGAAGGTGGATTTTTTTTTTTTTTTTTTTTTGCATTACGCGGGCCTCTCACTGTTGTGGCCTCTCCCATTGCGGAGCACAGGCTCCGGACGTGCAGGCTCAGCGGCCATGGCTCACGGGCCTAGCCGCTCCACGGCATGTGGGATCCTCCCGGACCGGGGCACGAACCCGTGTCCCCTGTATCAGCAGGCGGACTCTCAACCGCCGCGCCACCAGGGAAGCCCAAGAAGATGGATTTTAAAACCAGACCCAATGCCCCCTGTCCCTGCAAGGCCAGTCTCTGGAATGGCCAGACCTCTTGCTCTTTCAGCTTTGGAGGGCACCAATCCCTTCCTAGCTAGAGGCACTACCATGTCGCAGGCCACTAGGCAGCTGCCCAGCTCCAACCGCTGAATTAGGAAATAGCTGACAGCAAGCCTCATGCATTAAGGCAGTGGTTCTCAAACTTAAGCATGCATCAGAATCACTTGGAAGGCTTCTTAAAACACAGTTTGCTGTGCCTCAACCCAGAGTTTCTGATTCAGTAGTCTGGGGTAGGCCAAGAGTTTATACTTCTAACAAGTTCCCAGGTAATAATTATGCTGCTGGTCCAGGAACCACACTCTAAGAACAAACTGCACTGAGGCAATGAAAACAGGCTAGTCGATTGCCCTGTAAAGAAGTCTGCCAGGGCTTCCCTGGTGGCGCAGTGGTTGAGAGTCCGCCTGCCGGCCTGAAACCCGTGCACCTAGAGCCCGTGCTCCACAACGAAGAGTTGTGGCTCCACAACAAGAGAAGCCACCGCAATGAGAAGTCTGCGCACCACAACGAAGAGTAGCCCCCGCTCGCCACAACTAGAGAAAGCCCGTGCATGGCAACAAAGACCAAATGCAGCCATAAATAAATAAATAAATTTATATAAAAAAAGAAGTGCTGATATATGTTACAATGTGATCAGCATAACCTAGAAAACATTATGCTAAATTTAAAAAGCCAGTCACAAAAGACCATATTTTATTGTACTTTATATAATTCTATTTATATAAAATGTCTATAACAGGCAAACCTATAGAGACAGAAAGTAGACTGAAGATTGCCTAGAGCTTGGAGCAGGTGGAGGGGATAATTGGGAGAGAAATGCTAAATGGTATGGTGTTTCTTTCTGGGGTGATGAAATATTTTAAACTTGATTGTGGTGATGGTTACACAACTCTGGGTACATACTAAAAACTGTACACTTTAAATGGGTGAACTGTATGTTATTAAATTACATTTCAGTACAACTGTTAAAGGACTGCTGGAAAGGAACTCATGTATTCCTTAAGGTGACTTGGTTTTGATCCTCAAAGCAAGGGTTTGGATGGAAATGATTCTTAAACTAAAAGGGTCCTGGTGTCCTAGGAGGGGAAGCAGAAGAAAGAAGAAAAGAGAGAGGAAGTTCGATAGCAAAATATCTTAATTGAGAGAAAGACACAAGAGGTTCTTAGTCTTATAGAACTGGTTCTTTATAAAGATCTAAGACACACGTAGGTTTCTAACACGTTGGATGAGCCAGAAGGAAAGGTAATGAAAATTTGGCGTCATTTGATTTTTAACTTTTACACATTAAAGCTCTATATTAACACATTTTTTTTAATATATAAATGTATTTATTTATTTATTTTTGGCTGTGTTGGGTCTTTGTTACTGCGCGTGGATTTTCTCCAGTTGTGGTGAGCGGGGGCTCCTCATTGCGGTGGCTTCTCTTGCTGCGGAGCACGGGCTCTAGGCATGCGGGCTTCAGTAGCTGTGGCATGTGGGCTCAGTAGTTGTGGTGCACGGGCTTTGCTCCGTGGCATGTGGGATCTTCCTGGCCCAGGGCTCGAACCCGTGTCCCCTGCATTGGCAGGTGGATTCTTAACCACTGTGCCACCGGGGAGGCCCATTAACACATATTTTTGACATAGACCCATTTCTGGGAAATTGAGCTAAGGACGAAAACCATTTTTCAGTCATTAGACTTACCACTCGGCTGAAGTAGTCGTCTAAAACTTCAACGAAGTTATGGATGAATTCATAAATTGCCATCTCATTCTGAAATAAAAAAGGAAGGGTGCAGTTAGTTTTATTTTTATTTATTTATTTATTAAAAAAATATTTATTTATTTTTTGGCTGCGTTGGGTCTTTGTTGCTGTGTGCGGGCTTTCTGTAGTTGCGGCGAACGGGGGCTACTCTTCATTGCGGTGCGCGGGCTTCTTATTGCAGTGGCTTCTCTTGTTGCGGAGCACGGGCTCTAGGTGCATGGGCTTCAGTAGTTGTGGCATGCGGGCTCAGTAGTTGTGGCTCACGGGCTCTAAAGTGCAGGCTCAGTAGTTGTGGCACTCGGGCTTAGTTGCTCCGTGGCATGTGGGATCTTCCCTGACCAGAGCTCGAACCCGTGTCCCCTACATTGGCAAGTGGATTCTTAACCACTGCGCCACCAGGGAATTCCCGGGTGCAGTTAGTTTTAATATGACCTATTGGGGAAATCAGACATGGAGCTGCCCAGTCAGCAACCAGGTTTTAGAGCATTTGGTAAACAGATAATGTGAGCAAAGCAGCTTCCTATTGACAAATATTCAGAATAATTCTAGGACTTATTTCTTTAAAAGAAGCTTATCAATAGGGGAAATGTAGAAAACCTTAACCTCTATGAGTTTTTGAAAAGTCCATGATGAATCTAACTGAATTGAAACCAAATTGTGTCTAGTGATTATAGAGTTCTGAGGTTTACTCCCTGACTTCATCACCAACTGGCTGAAGCCAGGTTTTTGTTTTGTTTTGTTTTCCCCCAGGGTCTTCATGTCATCACTTTCCCATCTGTGAAGATGGGGAAACCATCTCAAAGTTTGGTTCATGGATAAAAAAACAATCAACTGAGATTTCAAAGTATTTTAGATCTTAAATACCCTTTCAGGGATTCTATGGCCAAAGGTGCTATTGATCTGGGACTGACCATTTCTGAAAAGGTGAACAATATCTGATGAGATGTAATTACAACACAATCATATTTACAGTTTGCTCTGCCTTCTGAAATGTCAGCCTATGTTTAATGTCACAGTTGTTTGGCCCCTACCCTTGGCTAAGCTGCCCCACTGTGCCACACTGAATGAGGGCAGGAAACTGGTATTGCTTAGGGTCGAGGAAGGCATTCTGTGCTTTTGTGCTTCTCCACAAATTGCTCATCTAATCCAAAAAAAATCCTAGGTTTATCTCTTCCACACAGTTTCCCCAGCCTTGATAAAAACCAATATCCTTCAAGAGTCAAGATAATTGTTATGGAGGTAAGTGGGGAAGAAAATGTCAATTTAAGGAGGAATCAAAATCAGACTGTTGGGCTTCCCTGGTAGCGTAGTGGTCGAGAATCCGCCTGCTGATGCAGGGGACACGGGTTTGAGCTCTGGTCTGGGAAGATCCCACATGCCACGGAGCAACTAGGTCCATGAGCCACAACTACTGAGCCTGCGCTCTAGGGCCTGTGAGCCACAACTACTGAGCCAACATGCCACAACTACTGAAGCCCGTGCGCCTAGAGCCCATACTCCGCAACAGAAGAAGCCACTGCAATGAGAAGCCCACGCACCACAACAAAGAGTAGCCCTCGCTCACTGCAACTAGAGAAAAGCCAGCACGTGTCAGTGAAGACCCAACGCAGCCAAAATTAAATAAATAAATTTATTTTAAAAAAAATCAGACTGTTATTCCTAATTTTCTTGTATTTTCCATAAGCTCTTCTATTATCTTACCTCAGTGTCATTAACTCCGACCACAATGAAGAGAGCTGCATACTGCCGATATATCAGCTTAAAATCCTTATATTCAATGAAAGAGCACTAGACAAAACACAATTAGACATTAATTCCTGTGGTTGACAGGGATTTCTTCAAAATGGCATGCATAATTTCTAGGTTCTGATTTGAGTATCTGTCAACACATTCCTAGAAATATTCAACATTAAGATGTGACACAGTCTTTGCTGGCCGCCTCCTCACAGTACTCGGGAATGCTTGGAAGCATCTCTAGTGGGAGGTGGAGAAGTGGTCTTGGAAAAATGTCTGAGTGTTCACATGGGTTCCCACCTGTACTTCTTCTTATTCCTTTGCTTGGCTCTGTGTGGAACTCAGCCAGCAAAGAAAAGCCTACTAAATAATCAGCATTTTAGATTGCCTCCAAAAGTGAAAATAAGCCAACATGATAAAGAAGATTTTCTTCTTTCCATCTCCCCTGGGCTCTTTTGGAAGCAATTAGAGATTCCGTTTGTACTATCTGATAGTCATTCAAGAGCCAAATATACAGAGCATACACACATGCAAAAAAGAAAAAATCTTGATTTCTTTTTGAGAAGAATCAATGTAGGCTCTTTTTATAAATTATTTAAAGATGGCTTTTGTGTGGCAGACACTAGACAAAAATCTCCCACTGTAAATATTGCTTTATAGGAATTAATAACTAGCTTACCATTACTGACTAGTGGAGGAAACAACTCCCTTCCCATTCATCTCTTTCCTAAAGCCATTGTACAAAGGGGGAGAGGAAGGCACTGGGTGGACAGGAATTGGACAGCAGGCTGAAGGTACAGTGTTGCCCTTCCTTTGGATTTTTGGGTGCGCTTGACCAAATGTGACTGAGCAAGAACGGTATGACTTTTTGCACTGGGATATGTTGCTCTATGGTGCTCAGATGTACCTGGGAATGAAGCTGCAAGTTGTTTTGTTTTGTTTTGGTTTGGTTTTTTTTGGCCATGCTACACAGCTTGTGGGATCTTAGCTCCCTAACCAGGGATCGAACCCGCACCCCTGGCAGTGAAAGCACAGAGTCCTAACCACTGGACCGCCAAGGAATTTCCAAAGCTGCAAGTTTTGATTATGGCATTTCTTCCACGGGAAAGCCATTCAACGATCTATATAATGGAGGCGTTTGAGGCTTTTATTTGACATTAGGATAAAAGTATTAAGTCCAGGACCATTCTGCAGCTTTTGGTTCATTGTAGAGCCAGTATTATTTCTGTTCAGTCAGATCTTTCAAGGAAACAAAATCTGTTTGAAAGAACTGAGGAACATTTTTCAAAGACTCTCAGGAGTTTCTGACATTCAAAAAAAAAGTATCCAAGCACCTTTGTGGATAAAATAAAAATGAAGCTGAGATTGTGTTACTTTGGTACCTGATTATGCTAAAAGCCCAATGGGTTCCCTTTAAAATCTAAGATAATTTAGAATGCTTCAAAAATATCTAATGGTATGTTCATTTCAAAGCATATATTTCAGAGGGTAACCTATCAGTGAAAACTATGAAATTGTAGCGTGCCTACATTCTGTAGAAAGATTCAAACAGAAATACTTCTGCAGTTTGTTTACCTTTACTTAAAGTATGTGGCTATTAACACAGTCCTTTAATAGTTTTTGTTTTCTTTTGACAACTACATAAAGCAGTGTGTGCCATGGCAGTCCAAAGTAGTAATTCAAAGAGGACTCTGAGATGTTCTGACTGGAAAATCAATTTAGAAGCCAAGGGAAACACAGTTCTAATGCGTAACTTGTGAGCACTGATGTAGCTTAATATTTTATGACTTACCAGTGGTTCCCAGGAGCAGCCTTTCTACATATGCAGTGAAAAAGAGAACTAGCAAAATTAATGGGTGATTTAAATAAGCTTTCTGAATTTGCATTAGTTTGCTCAGTGATTTCCAAGGATTCCAAGTTTAGGGCCTAGACTAAGTAATTCTCCAACTAAAGTCCTTTGTAAAAGTAGACTCAGTTTTTACAATTCCTGTTTACTATTATTTTAACGATTTAATTTAACCTCAATTTTGGCAGAATGGATAGATTTGTTGTTTCATATGAATTTTTTAACTTCCATTTCTCCCATCTATATAATAAGACAAGTTCAAATCAAGTTTGTTTTGTTTTTAAATTCCTTGTTCCAGTATTACGTTGGTGGTAAATTTATAAAAATGATAAGCAGAAAAAAACTGCACTCCACATGAGAATCATGTTATTATCCTCCGGCACAAAGTGGGTCTTGACTGTTCCCCTCTATACTGGTCATCTGACCTTCATCTTTTGGCTTAAAGAAAGCCGTCTGCTACAGGCACTCCTAAGAGTTCCAAGGGCTGAATTCATATGAACAAAAAAAAAAAGGTATGTCTATTAGCAGGCTTAAATTTGAGCTGCCACTTCCATAGTGCAGTAAGACAAATATGCTGACCTAAATATGAACTCAAGACTTTTCCTGATTTTCTTTGCTTTTATTTTCCTTAAGGGGATGTAAAGAGAGCTATGCGGCAGTCTTCATTTCACTTCATTTGTTAATTTTCCCTAATAGCTATTGAAAGAATGTAGTTCAAAGAAAACGATGGCCCCTGCAACTCAGTAATAATAAATTTGCCACTGCTGAGTTGAATGCAGAGATCAAAGAGAATCAGAAACTTACTTGTTCATTGGATCGAGAGAGACAGCTCTTTATGACTTCTGTTTCCAGAAGCGTACGCTTATTAATCTCCACATGTTCATAGTACTTAGAAAGCCGGGTCTGCCCTTGTTTATTCACCATGAGGAAAAATTTTATCATTTTTTTTTCTGGCCAGTATTTTTCCAAATATATTTCAAAAGTTATGGCGAGGGGTAGCTGTAACCAGAACCTGAAGGATAAAAGAACAACAGAAAGGCAAGATCAAATTTCTCAAGAATCATATTAAATGTGTTCTGTAGATGAACCAGAAGTAAAACGTCTTCTGATAACATTGGTCTTCACTCCTGTGAACTAAATGAGACTTTAATAAATAACTAAAGATAAATTTTCCTTAGTTATCCTCCAAAACATTTTTGAGTATCTACAGTAGTTCTACTCATATTCATTCAATTGTTTCATCAATCTTGTTGGGCGCCAACTATGTGTCAAGCACCAGAAGGAGAATATGGATGAAGAAGTAATTATTTCTGATCTTCAGATCATGACACCTAGCAAAGGTACTGGATAGGTAAACAAATAACAGCAGTACAGGGGGATGAGTTATAACTGGGACAGGTATACTTCTGTGGTGCACAAAAGGGAGGGACAAGGAGCATCATAGGAAAGTTGGGAATGGCTTCCCAGACAAGGGGCATTTAAGCAAGATCTTGAAGAATGACCCAGAGGGAGAGACTCTGAGGCACAGAAAATAGGGGTATGAAAGCTCTGGGAAGTTCACTTTGGTTGCAGGTCAGGGGGCAAGAAGAATGGTCACAGGAAATTGAGCTGCTCGCATAAGATAAAATAGGCTTTAGAAGTTATGTTAAGGAATATGAAATTTATTCTATGGACAATGGAGACAGGATGTGTAGTGAAGCTCTTCTTTCCTTAGTGTTGAAAGCAGTAGTAACATCAACTATTTGTCGAAGTCCTCGTACAAGGCCCCCGTAACAAGTCCTATAAGGTTCTGTACTGAGCAATTTACATACATTATTTAGTTCTCACAATTTTCTGAGGCAGGGACTTCTGTTATCCCCATTTTAAGGACAAGAAAACTGAATTTTACGGATGTTAAGGCACCCAGCATACCTGGATTACTGTATGTCAGGGGTGAGATGCAGGTCAGAGGCCAAGCGCATACACAGATCCATGACACCCCTACTCCTCATTCATGCTTGTGGGTTTATTTCAAACTCAGCTGTATTGAATCCCATGTTTGTTATTCTTATACTTAATATAGTTTTTGAAATAATCAATGCAAAAGCGCACAATATTGACCAATGGCCAATTCTTTCATCATGAGCATCAGAGCTGTCTCAGGCCAATCTTACAAAATCATATTCACATTTTGTAATATCTTTGAAAATCAGTGCAAAAGACCAAGGTTAACAATAGTTCTTAAGCGAAATTTTAAAACTTGGAATAATTTTACAGAATAGTTGCAACAGATGATGAGATAATATTTTTATATTATTTTTTGCCTTCCTAGCTCATCTTTTATTTCCTAAACCCTATCAGACAGGCGGTTATCTCATAACAATTCCAAACACTAAGAGCTGGTTAGAGGCAGATCCAGTCTGGCAAAGCCTGGGGCTGCTGTGTTCATTCGGTGTGCAGAACAGGATGTCATCTAGACCAGCTCAGCCGGGGATTTGACAGCTGTGCCACAGGGGGAGGCCTGTGGTCATTCACTCCCTTTTCCAGGAAGATAAACTCACTACTGTAGGTGGCATTGCAACATACTCTGTGTTATTTAATCGTCTGGTGTTAAGTCCTGCTTTTATCCTCCTTACAAATTACTGCCAGTAAAAATTATGGCAGATGACTAATAAATTAAGATTACCATCCTTTCCTTTATTCCCTTTCAGCAAAGTTATTTTAAAACCATCTTTATGAAAGTTAGAAATGACAATCCTATACCCTGGACTCCAACTGCCAGGTAAAAGAAAATATTGTCTCAAAGGTACTCATGGCCAAACCATTGCCTTTAAATGCCCTGGTTGCATTAAGTGGTAAAATGAGATGTAAAATGATCCCACTGAGATGCTACACCAAGGGATCAAATTGGTTTCCACCTTACAAGCACAGCATTCCTTCCCACTGACTTCAAGAGCAAGGATGACAAACAAGGACGTGCTGAACTGATACTCATTAGGACACGAGTCTTGAAAATAGTAGCTGAAGGCATCTAAAGACTTGAATACAGTATTTTTTTTTGCACGCTCATAAACAATTACACGATTTACAACTGTAGGATTACACAGTGGTAATAAAGCGGACAAGCAAAACTGTAAAGTATTTCTATTATAAAATATACAACACCAAAATATACAATGTGGAGACTCAGAGACAGGTACATGTTTGAGAACTGAAGATGAATGACATAAGCACCTATCCTGGTTACTAATTACCAGGGAGGAGGGAGATCAAATAATTATGAAACTGAGGTAGGGCAATAAGAAGGAATATGCTTAGACAAGTGCTGGGAGTGGTCGGGGAGCAGATATGAACTTCCTCTGTTAATATACTCTTTGCATTCAACAACACACGGGCTGGGAAAGATGTCTTGATTGCCAAGAAGTTAGGAGATTCCACACCCAAGAACTTGTGTGAATGTGTGTGAAAAATCAAGGAAGAATAAAAAAGAAACTTTACTGGGGAAGACATTACACAAAGGGTGCTAGGATGCCTAAAGGCCAAGACTAGGGAGGTGGGTAGATTCACAGTAGAATATAAACTGATCAGCGTCCCAGTCCCCTACATGATGTAAACTTAATGCTTAGAGAAAAGACAGACTGGAAAGACTGAAGTAAGTATTGAATTGGGCACAGTTTTCATACTTCTGATGGTGTATTTCTGGGAGTTAGAACTGGAAGAATCTTTATAGGTTGTCATACCCAAAGATGACAAATAGATTTCAACTTGGGTGCCAACTTTGATTAACTGTACTAACTGCATTGAGCACTGTGTTGGGAAGGATTCTGAAGCTGTTTTCAGGTTCAGAGCAAGACGATGTCATGAATAATTAGTAATGTCAGTTGTGGGTTAGGAAGCAGGGTGTGGCAACATATGTACCTTGTATCTGTCATCTCTGATGTGCACTCCATTTTGTAGATGAGAAAACTGGTAATCTGAGATGCAGAGTGAGGTCCTGAATTCTGGTCTCTTGACTCATAATGCTGTCTTTATCACATTGCCTCTGCCTCACTCGGTGTATTAGTGTCATTAATGTCCATTTAAGCTTAATAAGCATCAACTTCAGGTATCTTTGGGAATGATCAACTCAACATTATCTTTTCTAATGCTGCTGCACAATGAATGGAAAATACCAAACAATTCACTGCACGAAAACAGTAGAGTAGGAAGTTTCTGGAAATGAAAATGTTATTTGATGATGGCTAACATCCTTTCTAGCTCTAAATGCTTTCTATGTACCCCAGAACCATAATATTGTAAAACTCACACACACACACATACACATACACATACACACACACACACACACACACACACTCAGGGAACATCAGACAAAAACTTTGTTTTTGCCCCATGAAAATGACTGAAATAAAATCCCCCAAGTTACAAAGCCAATTTCCACCAAAAACTGTATACTACTCATAAGGTATAATAGTCAAAAGCATGAACTAGGTAGAGCTCGACTGTTTGGCTCTACTACTTATTAGCCTTGTGATCCTGGGAAAATTACTTAATCTTTCTGTACTCAGTCTGAGGTACAATGGGAATAATATTAGTACTGACCTTCTAGGTTGTGAGGAGTAGTTAGTGTATGTAACATTCTTAAAACAGTGTTTGGCAGTTGACATGAAGTGAGTGCTATGTAAGTGTTGGCCAATGTCATTACGATAGTATATCACCTCTTCCTCAGACAAGCCTTTCCTGCCTATCCCAATCCCTCTTTCTAACCACAGAAAGTTGGCTGTCTTTTCTTTGAACCCATCTTACAAAACCTGTCACCCTAAATAATCACTATTTGATTACATTCTGAGCTCCCCAACCAGACCAGTGATTTTCACTGTTTTACTGTGATATATTTTACACTGTGATATATTTTATATTGTGACCCAGTATACAGGTACATACATATCTGAATGGAAGTTCATAAAACAATACTGGCCCATACTTTGTATATTGTACTCCAGTATCTTTTATGACCTTTCATTTTATAAAAAATGCAGTTGTGAGGGGTATGGATTACACAGATGTATGGATTTTTTAAAACTTACCAAATGTAAATTTTATATAAAAAGAAACTAATACTCTGGTTAATGATATACATGCTGAAGTATTGGGGGGGAAATGTACTGATGTCTACAATTTACTTTTTTTTTGGAGGGGCGGGGTGGGCTGTGCTGCCTGGCTTGCAGGATCTCAGTTCCCCAACCAGGGATCAAACCCGGGCCAAGGCAGAGAAAGCCCGGAATCCTAACCACTAGGCCACCAGGGAACTCCCTATAATTTACCTTGAAATGCACCAAAAAAACTAAGATAAATTAATGGATGGGTAGACAGATGGATAGATGGTTAGATATATGATAAAGTAAGTACAGCCTGCCCTCTAGATCTGTGGGTTCCATATCCACAGATTCAACCAACCATGGATTGAACATATTTGGGAAAAAAAAATTCCAATATGTTCCTAAAAGCAAAACTTGAATATGCCGTGCACTGGCGACTATTTACATAGCATTTACATTGTATTAGATACTATAAGTAATTTAGAGTTATTTCTAGATTAAGTTATTTTAAAGTATATGGAAGGATATGCGTAGGTTATATGCAGACACTAAGCCATTTTACATAAGGAACTTGAACATGCACCGATTTGGTTATGTGTGGGAACTCTAGAACCAATCCCCCACGGATACTGAGGGACGGATGACTATATAGTAAAAGATTAATGGTAGAATTTAGGTGGTGAGTATATGGGAATTCACTGTGAAATTCTTTTCAACTTTGTAGTATATTTGAAAATTGTCACAACAAAATATTGAGGAAAAATGCTAGTTGTGGCCCACTGATATATTTTTTTTAATTCCATAGATTTTATTTTTTAGAATAGTTTTAGATTTACAGAAAAAATTGCAAGGACAGTATAGAGTGTTCTCATATACTCCACACCCAGTTTCCCCTATTATCAACATCTTAGTTAGTATGGTACATATGTTACAA